CTGCAGACTTCGGCAAATAACCACAAAACAGTGTTATCAAAAATTAAGCTTGTAAACGTGGGAGTTCAGTATGCTAAAAGCTTCCGAGTAGGTTTTAAGATTCTCCAGCTTCGTGACGCGCCATGTTGTTTACGGTCTCGAGACTCGCCTTCCTCTGGTTACGTGACACACAGACGCTCTGCCACAGAGCAAACACAAATCAAATAGAAACAGGCATTTACATAATTGAACATAGGACAATGACGCCGTTTATGTTGAAAATATTTATTTTCTGGCCACAAACCTTTAACATTATACTGCTGTGACGTCATTGCAGTTTATGTATCATAAAATTATTATTGTTATTATTATTATTATTAGTAGTAGTATTAGTATTAGTATTATTATTAATTTATTACAAAAAACAAACGAACAAGTAAGTAAGTAAATTAGATGACAGTCCTGTAACCTGGGTTGACATCATCTTTTGGCAACCAGAAAAACTTAAATTCAAGGTGGCAGTGCAAATCTGCAAATCTACGTATGAAAAAAATAATCTTACTTACCCCCATACTCAGTGCAAAAATAAATAAATAAATACATTTTGCGTGCAACTATTCGTACTTCTTCACCTGTTCTACACTTAATAGTATTTCATTACCAACAAAGTGTAAACATGATGCAAATGAGAGCTTAATTTTGCAGAGTTGTCAGCAAATAAAGATGTAAGAGTTTGAAAGAGTGGTCGAAATTCTGTAATCAAGTAATAGTATGATAGGAGAAACCATATCTAAATTGTTTATAACATTATATTTATAGAAATCATATAAGTTTCTCATTCTGTTTCTAACAGGGACAATTTGCACCATCTGCTGGACAGTTTTGTTATAGGCTACTAGATGTACGTATAATTAACAACATCCTATAATGTAAATATCTGTTTTATTTGGATATTATTGTTGTTTTTATATAAAGGTTTATGTATATTTAATACTTTGTGTTTTTTAAATTGTCTTCGCGTTATAGAGTTCCTCAACATACATACATACATACATAGCCTACTAATTAAATCGCCAATCAGTGTGTGTTTGCACTTTTCTGAGCTTCTTCAACCTTGGTGTGTAATGTAAAAATGAAAAGTGTTGGTTGGATGTTAGATACATATCTATAGCGGGGACATTTAATTATGAACCACATTTTTGAACCGGAAGTACTCAGTTGTACTGTCTGTGTTCCTCAAGAAACTTGTTTTGTTGTTTTAATTCGCGGTAAGTGTGACAGTTGTACATTTATTATCCACAATATAGATTTGATTATATGATTAATAGATATACTTAGAGAAGATAAGACAATGTGATTTATCGATTTCAAAATTATGTGTGTCAAATCTGTCATTTACTGTTGTGATCGTGACAGTGTGCTTTTATGAGACGGTTTATATAAAAATGAGAACAAGTATGTAAATACCAAGTACAGTAAAAGATAATAAACACAAAACGAGTCTTAAATAGTTTTTGTTAACTGTTTGCCTCTCGAGTCAGTCTGTCATTATTATTTCACAGTTTTGTGGGAGTTTGTTTCGTTCTAAGCTTTCTTACTATTTCGCAATAATTTATCTTTTTTTCTGTGCAATACACTACCATAAGCCTGATGTTTTGTTCTTTTGTTTGCAGGAGTAATACAGCACCTGTGAAACAATGGGTTTGTATTGGACTTTTATTTATTTGGAAATAGGAAATGTCTCAACCAGATGCTTTTAATGATTTCAACCTAATAACTTCGCTATTCATCCTTATTCCTAGTAAATGTACTCGTATGCATGTGTCTGTTTAGCTTCCATTGCATGTTTCTTTTTTCCCTTAAGTGTCCAAATAACATTTTCAAGTAGATGTTGAAGACAGGACTTATGGTGGTTGTGAAGGCCCTGATGCCATGTATGTAAAGCTGATCTCTTCAGATGGCCGTGAGTTTATTGTGAAGAGAGAGCATGCTTTAACCTCTGGCACCATCAAGGCTATGCTGAGTGGGCCTGGTGAGTATGAAACATGGTCAAAGTCTAGCTGTTATGAAACGGCATTTGTTTATTGTGAAATTCTTCCATCAATCATTTGCTTTCAAAAACATTTTAGCGATATCTGACCAGTAAGAGGAAGCGCTAACTAACATTTGCATGTTTTCTTTTAGGTCAGTTCGCTGAAAATGAAACCAATGAGGTGAACTTCCGGGAGATCCCGTCTCATGTTCTCTCCAAAGTTTGCATGTATTTTACCTATAAAGTGCGCTACACTAACAGCTCGACAGAAATCCCAGAATTCCCCATTGCTCCTGAGATTGCCCTGGAATTGCTTATGGCTGCGAACTTTCTAGACTGTTAGAGAGGAATGGAGAATGTGTTATACTGTGACCGACTAACTTGCCATTTGTTTGCCATCATATATGTTCTTATGATTTATGAGTGTGTATTTATGAATGTTTTGCTTTTTTTTTTTTTTTTGGTATGTTTTAATTTGAAATGGCTAGAAAATATGTGTTTTAAATGTCTTACAATCATTTTGTATTTGAAAAAAAAAATGGATGAACCAAATATATCATTGTCACACTTCTATGTCTTTGTTTTTGACTGGTTTAATATTTACAGCACAGAGAATAAACAAAATGGCTTGCATTTCTCGCAAGACACAAGTGAACACAAACTGAAGGAAAGCTCTACGTATTTTCAAAACACTGAAGAAAGGAGAATTGAGAGTAGTGCATGCTAAATTACGGTAAATTATGGTATGATTGTACCATAAAAAGGATAGGGATAAAAAGATATGTCACCCAAAAAAATCTGTATGTTGTACCAACCCAGGTGACTGACTTTCTTCTGTGACAGAATAATTAATTACAAAGATTAGATACAATTATTGTAACTATTAATAATGATAATACATAAATAATTAAAAATGTAAAAGAATTCCTGACCCAAAAATAAAACATCTGTCTTTATAGTCATTCAAAGCCCATTTCACTTTCCTCTGATAATGAAATTATATATATATACATATATATATATATATATGTGTGTGTGTGTGTGTGTGTGTGTGTTTGTGTATATATATACAGCGGGTAAAATAAGTATTGAACACGTCACTATTTTTCCCAAGTAATGGGAAAATTATTAAAATACTTATTTTACCCGCTGTATGTATGTGCTGTCAAAAGATTAATCACGATTAATCACATCCAAAAAAGTTTTTGTTTACATAATATATTGTGTGTACTGTGTATATTTATTATGTATATAT